GTGTGAATGGACCCATGTCTCCAGTTTCACAGATTCCTGTGGGGTGGCTCCCATTCTATCTATCTATCTATAATCAAAAGCTTCTAGCTTAAGGGAACTAACACTCTGCCTATGCACAGAGATTTTCCCCTGTGCAATATCCTCCTGAGCCAAGCAGTTGCATTCCAAGCAGATTCCCAGACTGCACATTGGACAGAGTTCAGTCCACACTCCTGCCCACAAGTCCTCAAAGGACTTGTGCACTGCATCTGTGCTGTAAAAATAATGCAGTTTGACACTGCTTTAACTGCCCTGGCTCAATGTTATGGAATCCCAGGATTTGTAGTTTGTTGTGCTCTTTGACAAAGCCAAATTTCTCACAAAACTACAAAACCCAGGTTTCATTAGCATTGAGCCATGGCAGTTAAAGCAGTATCAAACTGCATTATTTCTGCAGAACTTTTATGAAAAAGTTCCTTCCATGGGCACCATTGCCAAAAATATGTGCGAACTTAGATACTGAATGGAGGAACAAGTCTCCTGCGTCTCAACAGAAGCCACAAGGGACTCCTGTTTATGGCTTTCATCTTCTGTTAAGCAATTGTACTTTGGAGGCTGGTTCTTTGTTTCTGTGGAAAGATGAAGATGCCTCTGTAAGGATACACAATCAATGGAGAGTGGGCTTATCTGACTGTGGCTCTTTTGTTGAGCAGATCCAGTGGCAAATTTAGGCTTGCTCCTGTGTAATTGTGTGCAAAGGCTCTCAGTGGGTTTGTTGTGAGTGTTCAAAGAATTCAAAGACCTAGCCATTTTTTCTAGTCTGGAAAATCAGTATGCAAAAGGTTCTTGTAGCACCTTTGAGACCTTTGAGAAAGAAGCGGGTAGCATCAACTTTTGTAGACTTGAGTCTCAGATGCATGGAGCTTGGAAAGGTTACTTTTATTATATCAGGCCATTGGCCGAGGGATTTTGGGAACTGTAGTCCAAAAATAACATTTCCAAGCTCAGTGGGGGCCTTCTGGCAGATGAAAATGCAGATCTTGATATCTGCTGCGGTTTGGTTCAAGGACCCTGACCATGGATACCAAAATCCATGGATGCTCAAGGCTCATTAATACAATGACATAGTAAAATGGTGCTCCTTATATAAAATGGCAAAATCAAGCTTTGCTTTTTAGTGTATGTATGTGTAAACACATAATTTTCATGCTGAGGATGGTTGAATCCACGGATAAAGAATCCATGGATAAGGAGGGCTGACTTTGTCTTTCCTTGCAGAAATTCTGTGTGGTAACTGTGTGAAAATGGATCTGTGCCGCCTTCCAGTTTGCTTGCTGTTGGTCCTGGGCATAAGCTATGCTGCTACTGAGCCAGCACCTGGCACACCTCTTCTTTCCTCTCCTACATCTCTTCCCACCACCTGGTCTTCCACACAACATCCTGAGTTTCATTTTGATCCCAGGTCAGATGTTACATCTCTGCCCAGCCCTTCACTTTCTCAGCAGACCCAGACCCAGACCCAGACCCAGACCCAGACCCAGACCCACACCCAGACCCACACCCAGACCCACACCCAGACCCACACCCAGACTCAGCCCTCAGTCTCTATGCAGCAACAGACCCCAAGACCCCAACTATCCAAGGGAAAGGTAGGCATTTCTCCTTTCAGGTTTCCTGATCTGGGCCTGGAAGATTCGGATGGAGTTCAAGAATGGGAAACTGCAGCTGGAGGAGTAGCCGAGGTGCTGATGAAACCAAAAGGTGAAGGCAGCTGGAAGCTGAGTCTTCCCGGTTCTCTTGGAAGGAAAGTTGGGTGTTTGAATTTGATTTTAAATAAACTGTTATGCATGTTTCAGTGAATCCAGAATTTCTCTAGAGCATTGGCAAGGTCAAATTGTTCTTATATTCATGTAAAATGGACATGTGAGAATTACATTCAAAATCTAGGGCTGCTGCCACACTGTAGAATTAATGCAGTTTGATGCTGCTTTAATGGTCAAGGTGTCATCCTATGGAATTTTGGGATTTGTAATTTGTTGTGGCACCAGAGCTCTCTTCAGGGAAGGCTAAATTTCTCATAAAACTACAAATCCTAGAATTCCATAGCATCAAGCCATGGCAGTTAAAGCAGTGCCACTGTATTAATTCTGCAGTGTAGATGATGTCTAGGTCAATAGTAGGTAAACATTTTTTTGGAGCATCAGTTGCTGTGTCTGTGAAAGGAGAATGACAGTGACAGGGTGGCCAGATGTCCTCCTTTTCCAGGATATGCATTTCCACCTTCTTTCCAGGAGGAATTTTAAACTTTCCTCCATTTTGCGCATAACTAAGAAGCATGAATTTATATTTGTACGAGTGTTTTTTAGCTTTTATTTAGCAATGCCTTACATTTTTCTTGAGCATCCTATATTTTGTGGTGTCTTGTCCTCCTTTGCGGTTAGGACATCTGAACACCCTGTGACTATTTTCTAAAGATCACTTTCAACAATAATGCGAAGCTCATTACTAGAGGTGCAGGCAATACATGGTTAATAAGTGTGGTTAATTAAGCTTTAGCAGTTGATTAAAAAGTGGTCACAGCTAATTGGAGGCCAGGAGCTGATAATAAGCAAACACTGGAATTCATCCTGCATACAGACATGCTTCTTTTAGCTCTAAGAAAGAAAGAAAGAGAAAATGAACTTGAATGTGGCTTTCCATTTATGAATAGAAAGGAAAACTAGTATGAAAAGTTAATACTTTTTTTTGGGGGGGGGGAAGACACTTGTCAGATTTTCTTCTAGAATCATAAAGCTAAATGAACCTTACAATACTGTGGTGTAGTGAAAAGTATTACGGTATCTTGGTATCTTGGAGGATAAAGGTTCCAGTCCTCACTAAGGTGTAAAAATAACTGGGTAACTTTATAACATTCTCATAGCCTGATTTACATCACAGATTGGTTGTAAGATTAATGTAGGGAGGATAAGAGCTACCGTACTGAGCTTCTTGGAGAAACAGTGAGATACAAATTTGGCTAATAAAGAACCAACCAACCAACCCACCCATCCACTTACCCACATTTATAGAACAGAGGGAGTTTGATTCCTCTTAAGACCCTCAACAAAATCAATCCATTCATTTTGATGTTGCAATATATACACTTTATTTAAATATAAGCAATGTGTTTCAAAATAGCCACTGAGAATGAGCCCTAAATTATACAGCAAGAATTAATCGAGGTGGGCAAAGTGTGACCCTCCAAATTTTGTTCTGTAACAAAACACCTACTTAAATAGCAGATACTAGATCTGAGTGGATAAAGAAGGGCCTTAAATCCAGACCTTAAAATGTGCAATTTTGCTTTGGTGGAAGAAGGCAGGTGTCCACAACTGACTTGAACTCAGGGTTTATAATAAAGGTGGAGGATCAGTAATCTTCCAGATGTTGGACTGTAAGCTCCAGTATTCCTCAGCACTGGCTATATTGGCTGAGTCTACTGGGAGTTACAGTCCAAAAACCTCCTGCAGGCTACATTTTGTCCACCTCCCAAAAAGCTTGATATTGAAACAGTCTGGGGGCATGGAGGCAATGTTTTTGGTTGCATTATCATGAAAAACTGAAAGCCCAAACTCCAGGTTCTCTGATGAATGAACTCACTCTGAATCCATGGATTGTCTAGAAAAGGAGGATAGCATTGGGAACCAAGGGGGCTCTGTGTAGATCCTTTGAAAGAGGAGTACAATCTATGGGTGCTTTCAGATGAACATCTCCCTAATAAAAAAGCAGTGTGCAGCAGTTGTGTTGTTCCTACTTCAACAGATGTTTTGCCCTAGGGCAGTGGTTCCCAACCTTTTCTATGCTCCACACCCCTAGGAAATGTTTGATGCATGTTCAAACCCCCCAACACACAAAAGTAACATCACATTTGAAGTTGAAGACATCTAATTTCTAATTTTTGAACAACAAATTGATCCACATACAATTCTGCAGGTTGAACAAATTTAACTTTTTTTAAAAAAAAGCTTTTAACTCAGTGCATGAAATGCAAATCTAAATTGAGCAATTAGATTCTAATTTGTTCAGAAAAAAAGAGTGATGACTCATGACTTGTCACTCAGGGACACAGCCCACCA